AGATCTTAACCAATGTATTGGAAGTTCTGCAGGACTCTTTCATACCTGACACAGCAGTCCAGAAAAATGTGCAGGCCAAACTCACATCACTACAATCCAACTCGGATCTCTTCAACTACTTCCTTCTCATATTCGAGAATTCTCAGCAGTTCGATGAGAGAACACGAAGCTTGGCTGGGCTAATAATAAAGAACAATATGCTGTATGTATACGAAACCACACCTCACCAAGTGCTGCAAAACATGAAAAGTAAATGCTTGAAGCTACTCATGGATCCCAGCAGAGATGTAAGACTGAGTGCATCTGCTTTGATAAACTTCTTAGCTCTCAAAGGTGGCATCGATAATTGGCCAGAGCTGTTGCCACACTTGATCTTATCACTGGATTCCCCAAATATAGATATTTGTGAGACAACCATAAAGACTTTAATCAATATCTGTGAGGATTATTTGTCGCAAAGGTTCAATGTTTCATTGAGGTTAGATGAGTCTATAAAAAAGCTGCTGTTTAAGTTCACCGAGCTGACATCACATGAGAGTTTGAGCATCCGCAAGCACAGTATGAAGATAATGAATGAGATCTTGCAGAAGTTTTACGAGTCCATTCAAGTGGATTTTGAGACGAACAAGTACTTAATGAAGCTATTTGTTGCGGCCAATGAAACGAACGAGGAGATCGTTATTCTCGTGTGTCAGGGCTTCGTGGTGTTCATCAATAATAAGGACGAGGCCATATTGCCGGCTATTCAGGACGTAAATAAGTATATGCTTTTGAAGACGGCGGATGAGTGCGAAGAGGTCGCATTGCAAGCTTGTGAGTTTTGGTTTTCTATTAGCAAGTTGCCCACGTGCAAGGAAATCGTTGGTGGGTTTCTAAAGGATTTAATTCCGGTTCTGTTGAGGAACATGAAATACTCCAATTACGAGTTGGGCGTGTTGAGGGATTCGCTCGGTAAAGATTCGAACATGAGCGACAATCCTCAGGATATTAAACCGTTCGTTAAGAACTGCGAGGATGATGATGATCCCGATATTGGATGGACGTTGAGGAAGTGCAGCGCCGCTTCGTTGGATTCCATGTCGCTGCAGTTTCAGGATCAGATGGCGGAGGTGGCCATGCCACTAATCATGGAGAAGCTGGGCTGCAATGATTTATTGAGCAAGGAGTGCGGAATTCTGGCGCTGGGAGCCATAGCCGACGGCTGTTTCAAGGGATTAGTGAAGCATCTGCCAAATCTGATTCCGCCTTTGATCCAATGCATGGATGACGATAACTCTCTCATCAGATCGATCACTTGTTGGACGCTGTCGCGCTACGTGAGATTCATAGTCCACAGTCCGGTGGACCTGTACTTTGGGCCTGTCATGGTTGTGCTATTAAAGCATTCGTTGGATGACAACAAGCGGGTGCAACGGGCTGCCATATCCTCTTTCTGTTTCTTTCAGGAGGAAGCCAAGGAGAAATTGCTACCTCACCTAGAAATGATCTCGCAAACCTTCCTCAGCGGTTTCAACGTCTACAAAATGCGCTCGCTGTACTTGCTGTACGATGCCATCGCCGTTCTCTCGCAAGCTATTGGCGTCGAATTTAAGCAAGTATTCAGGCCGCTGATGCATCCTGTCTTCGAGAAATTCTCCACGCTGGATGAATACAATAACATCGAGGAATTTCTCGCAATTTGCGAGTGTTTATCCTCCGTAATGACTTCTGTGGACGTCGAGTTGGTGGAGTACTGCAAGGGGGTGTTTGCGAAATGCTGTCGAGTAATCCAGGACAACGTGCATAGCGGCGGCGGAGACTCGGAGGACTACGATAAAGATTTAGTTGTGGCCGCGCTGGATCTCCTGGTGGCTATGATCACCAATTTGAAGCGGAACTTTGCGCAATTCCTCGTCGGCAGCAATTTGATGGACCATTTGTTCTACTTGATCCAGGATGAAACAGTGCCCGTGAGGCAGGCGTCGCTGGCCATGCTCGGCGAATTGATAATGTACTGTTACCCGTACATCTGCAATCAGATTCAGTCCTACATACCAGCTGTAGTGGAAAACCTGGATAGAAGATTCAACGGGGCTTGCAACAACGCCGCTTGGGTGGTCGGCAAATTATGTATAGCACTTCAGGCCGGTATAAGTCAATACGCGGCGCAAATTTTGGAGCATTGCGTTGAGATAATGCAAAACACGGACGGATTACAGACTATGTATAAAACTGTTGCCATCGCTCTTTGCATCCTAGGACTTGTATGTCCAACGGACGTAGTCCACGTCCTTAAAGGCCTGATGCGACCGCTTTGCTTGACGATTCGCAACGTCGGCGACTGCGAGGAGAAGCACCTCGCCTTCAAAGGCTTCTGCGAGCTGGTAGTTAGGATGCCCGAGGTCCTCGTGTGCGACTTCATCTTCTTCTGCGACGCCGTGGCTTCCTGGAACGAAATCGAGAACGACCTCAGAGGTCGGATTGCCAGCATCATCGTGGCATTCCGGCTGCAGATCGGCGAGGAGGCCTGGGAGAAGGTTTACGGGAATTTCCCGCCGATGCTGAAGAGCAGAATCAACGTGCTGTACGGTATCTGAGCAAGCCTATATCACCACAATTGAAGATTACTATTTTTTGGGGAAATAATAATCAACATAAAACGCACTTACATACAAAAAAAAAATGGCCGTCGCGATTCATAAACCTCTCGAGAATATTTCAATATCCAATATATCAGCAAAAAAAATAATGTAATAAGTAAAGTGTTATGCAAGGGCTCCGGAATTTTCGTTTACGTGTACTTTTGAGAACCGCGAATGGTGTGGGTGGGCCGAGACCTATTTTTCCTACGTTCCTCTTCAGTTTAGAACCCGCGATTTCCAAAGTGCGGTAGTTTTTTCATCTTAATATGATTTCCGCGTGGGTGGGAAAAAATAACTATGCGTAACGAATCGGCGAAATATATATCTGACGTTGTTTGTTTATTTTATATAATCTTTTATGAAATTGTACTGTTTTTTTTTGTCATTGTTTATATTTATTTTTTATGCAAAACGAGTATTTTTGTAATGCCCAATGGCTTGTGTTTATTTATTTACTATTTTAGCGAACTGACTGACTGTTAATATTGATTTTCCTATTTGTTTATACCTATGTTTAAGGGAGCTTCAACGCGCTCTCTTGTGAAATTAAATATATTAGTTTTAAAATTTATTTACTATTTTCATTTCTGCATTTTTATCCCAAATACCAACTACTGATTAATAGATACATATATTCTTGATATAATACATTTCTAAACTCGCGAATCTACAGTAATTCAAATTATTTCCGTTAGTTTAACGCCTTAACTATGTCCACATTACATGCAATTCTTGAAAATCTGCTACTCATGTTTGTTCTACAAATACCAGGTTAAATACATATATGAGTTATTCATAATTTAAGAATGTTAAAAAAGAGTTACTATTACTCACATAACCATTAATTTGTATTTTGTTTAACTTTTTTTATTGTATTTGTTGCAACTAAAGAACAATTCAGATTTATTTTAATTTTTATATATAAATGCTTTAATTGTAAATATTGTAAAAGAATAAATATATTTATATAATTAAAACATCGTTCATAAATGATTATGAGAAAAACATATTTTAAATTAGACTTATGGGATTGCTTAAGTACTTTCTCATTGATAATAATACATTTATCCATGTACAAATTATCTTCAATAATAGCTTGATAAATAGTATACAATTCGACTAGATACAAAATATTCACTTGATTCCCACAACCGAATGACTGATCGATGACTTCCTAAATAATACATTTACAACTTTTACTTGTGAACAATACAAACAATTATTGCAGAATTTTCATGAATGAGCTCGGGTTAGAGACTAAAAAGGTTATTTTGTTTAATTGGGGACAATTGTAAATGTAACCGCCAGTTTAATCAGTGTTTAATCCGATGATGAGAATTACCGGGCGTAAATTACGTACACTTTTTCTCAATGACTCACTATCCAAAATCAGTGCATCCGTCATTCGCATTTCAAACAATTTATTTCGCTCCCACAACTAGATTTCAATTATTCTATGTCATTGCACGCTGGATAGAAACGTTCATAACTAGTAATAATTTTACATTCTCTATAGTTGTGGTTAAATTTTGATATTGTTAGTTAAAATCTAGGCAATAAGTAATATTGATAATTGGATTAACTTTCAGTTAATTGTCGTTCTTCACGATTAAAAAAGTTAAGCAATATTTGTAGTGTATACAGTGCGACCTCGCTTAACGAGTTTAATCCGTTCCAAAATTTCAGGTTTTTTACTTGTATCGTGAAACATATTCAAAAATACACATAATATGTGTAAAAAAGTTTTAAAAATGATGTAGTAGGCGTGCAATCCGGGACTTCTCTTCTCTATAATTCATTTTGCTCGTTATGCGAGGGTGCTCGTTAAGCGAGGTTCCACTGTACTAATATTTCTGAGGGTTATACACTCTCAATACTTCACTATATTTTGTCTATACATTTAGATTGACTTTGATTTATTTTATATCTAATTGCGTTTCAATATGCTCTAAGAATGTTGATATAGTGAGTACAAATTTATTATTGGTTTTAATTTATGATGATGTAAACTGACAAGATAGTGAATTTGTTAGGTAAAACCGGATTTAAAATAATATTAATTGGGTTTTCCTCTAATTAAACTGAATTACCGACAAGTTTGCAACAATCATAAACATTTACAAATATTTATATGAATCATTTTAAGGTTTTGCAATTGAATTAAAAAAATATTTTGTTTTGTTTATAAACTACAAACAATTGGTTCTAAGTTAAATGGAAATTAAATAGATTATTATTAGTATATTAACTAATTATTTTACATAAGTTATTGAATCAAATATGTTTATTTTAATTGAAAATGTTGTATAAATATTTTGTTTTTTTTTGTTTCTATTATTTAATCTTATATTAATTATTCGTTTTTTTTTGTAGAAAATGTCCAAAGCAATTGCTGTCGACGCTGATAAAGATCATCATCGACGAGATGAGGAAGACTTGCCAGAAACAGCCAATCGTGTGCGGTTACATCCCTACAGAAGACAGTAAGCTGCAAATCCGCTCACTATGATGTTAAATTCGATTGTTTTCACGTTTCTATCAACGTCATTATGTGACAAACATCTCAAGATATTCATTCCTCCATCGTTCGCTTCAGAAACAACATTTACGGACATTGCAATTACGCGCAGCTACTAAGTCTATTTTGGTTTTCGTTCTGAGGGCATCATCAAAACGAAAAGTCAGTCATTGCTGCGTTTGTCACTGCTGCGAAATTAGATTTTAAAGTCGGATCTGCTGTGGATTTGCGCTTGTAGTGCAACGAGCTTTGACCAGAAGAGGTGAAGAGGGGAATTTGTAAGTTGGTTAGCAGCCCTCGACCTCCGGTTAGGTTGAAATCAGGAAACGCGCGAAACCATAATTAGCCGTCATTAACGGGAACTTCCACATCCGCATCGGGGATTACCATTCCTCCCGTGCTTACTGGTTATCCACGAATGCAAATTGATCAAGCGCTCAAATAAAACGCAAGAGCGACACGCGCGTTCCTATCTCCATTTACAGTTGCGCTGATTTGCCGGGTTTCCGGCATAAGACTAAACATGGTGTGTTTCTCTTTTTCCCTCTAGTTTACGAGCCGCTGAAGTTGATGCAATCCGTGATCATGAAGACCAACGAGGTCTGCCTAAGGTACCTGGAGAACAGCACCCTCTGCACGCTGCCGTCCCCTGGACCCTCCTACAACGTGGTCACCTGTTGCGCGATGAAGAACACCAGGCGCAAGATGGAGGACAGACACACGATCATCAATGACCTGAACACGATCTTCAATGATCAGGTGATTGAAACGTCGTGATAGGCGGAAGTCGAAGGACTCATCCAACCACCAATTCTTTGTTTTTTTTTCAGGAAGCAAGTCCGTCCAGCTATTATGCGATATTCGATGGTCACGCCGGCCACGATGCGGCCGCCTACAGCGCGGCCCACCTCCATCAGTACCTGGCGGAGAGCAGACACTTCGTCTCCAATCCAGAGCAGGCTCTGATCGATGCCTTCTGCAAAACGGATGCACTGTTCATTGAGAAATGCAAAGTTGAGGTATCTATCATTATTTGTTACACGATTCTATTTATGCATCCTTCCTTCAAACGCCGCCCGCCGATCGTAGAGCCCCTCCTGCTCATCAAAACGTTACCAACATCCGTTAATATGTAAATCCCGACGAGCAACATTAAATTTACAGCAACAAAAAAAGAAACGGATGCTTTCGACATTATCCTAATTGTCTAACGTACCGACTACTTAATTACAGAAATTTTCAAACTTCTTTCCTCTATTGAAATACCTACTGAGATTAATTGAAATTCATCACCACATATACATATTATAGCTTGCCTTTAAATGAGTGTAATTTCTTACCTCCAAAGAACACATCATAATAAAATGATAATTAAAGATCAGATATACTTTATGCAATATTTAGCAACTTTGTAACTTAGTTTCTACTAAGTTTATATAATATCTAATCAAGTTTGGAAATTTGAAAATTAGCTGTCTTCTTACAAACTGATTTGAATATGATTCTAAATAAATTTCAAAAGAAATATGCAAATTGATTATATAAATAAGTTTACTATATTTAATGTTAGTCTGATTTTTATTTTATTATATATTTCCTCGTAGTACTAAAAGCTTTTTACGTAATATTTTTATTCATAAATTTTTAATGGTTTCTCCATAAAAATATATTTTTCTATTACTAAAGTTATTACGTAGTTAAATAAGTTTATGTTTTAAGCAAAAATAAAATGAACTTACTTAACCAGTTATCAATGGAAATCCAAATGTTCTGACCAAAAGCAATGCAATTATATTTTTATCATTTCTTTTCTCATTGTACTGATTTTTTTTTGTGTAGAATTTCAGCAGTGGAACTACTGCCGTATGCGCATTGCTCCGTCCGAAAGAGAAGAGCCTTTATATTGCCTGGGTTGGCGATTCGCAGGCCCTAATTGCCAATCAGGGCAAGATACTTCAATGCGTCAACCCCCATAAACCCTTCAGACCGGACGAGAAGGAGCGCATTGAGAACGAGGGCGGAATGATTATCTACTGGGGCACGTGGAGGGTTAACGGGCAGTTGGCAGTCTCCAGAGCTATCGGTAAGAAAAGAAGGAAAATAGATGAAACTAACATATACACACAAAAAAAAAACATAAAAAATATATATAAGAGCAGCAGCAAATATAGCTGAAAGGCGGTCGAATCCAATGTGCAATGAATACATTATTTGCTCTCTATTAAAGTGGATTACGTTTCCATCCAATCCGTTGCGTCATTCGCACTGCGTTTGGTTCAATATTTGTTTGCTATTTAAGGCCTCTGTAGATAGCAAAATTAATTCTCGGTACGGAAATATTTATCCATTAAACTAGATCGACAAATAAACAACAAACTCATTTCAAGTGGTTGCAAATAACTGAAATTGCGACAATGCGATTGTGAAATTTTGCTGAAGCGATACATTTCGTTTATTATTCATTTATTTGAGATAATTATACAAAATATATTATGAGGACAATTATTATTATTGTTGCATACAACAGATTTTGCACTTTGACTAACTACAGATAAAAGAAGATTTTCAATGGAATTAAGAAAAAAGTCAGCATCTAAATTTTCCTAACATTTCTGCTGTGCGACCCAGCTATCATTTTGTGACCTATAAATAATGAGAGGTTGAGAAACGCAGATTATACTAACTTTTTTTTATTATTATGTCATATATTTAATTTACAATTTTATTCCTGCGAACATTAATTAAATATAATTGCGGTAGATATTTGCTTTTTGATAAACTTCCCAGTGGAAGTTTTTATCATTATATTTTATTCTTCAGCAATTTGTTGGTTGGCAGCCGTCTTGTAAGTTAACTTCAGTATATTGATGCTCAGCAATTCCACTATTCCCTTTGTGTATCCTTAACACATCATTGTCCATCTACTTGGCTGAAGCTCCATATGCTGAACTTCTTTCATTTGACTGTCTATTCATGGCGAACGATTGCTGCAAGCACCGAGAGAGCTCACAAAGGGCCTGGCTTGACCAGGATTCGAACCGGCGCACACGGAATCGTGGGTAGGGCGACTTAAACATTCGGCTATTAGTCGCCCATACTAACTTTTCTATGAAAATAATAATAATAATATTGGAACAATTTCAATACAAAAAAAACATTAGATTGAGTAATTAATAAAATTAAATCATTAGGATGAAACTTTTCTTGACATGTCTAGGTTGTAGCAAAACAGAGTCGTAAAACTAAATTCTTGGCGTTGCTACTGTTTCTCTCACAATAGGCCATAAACAAAATCATACCAGTATTTCCCCTATTTTTCGCTCGTTTCAACAGTCGTAAAGTGGACCGTCGTAAAATATTTGAAACAATTGAGATTGGTCAAATGTTCTTCTTATATTTATTTAAATCAATAATAAGATAGTCAAAATTAGATGATAAAAATACATCAAAATATTAACGATAATAAGATTTTTTTTTGATATAAGATTGGTAAGATATTCTTTACTTTAATATCTGTATAAAAACTACATTTTTGTAATAGATTAAATCGCATAGACTTACTACAAAAAGAGATAAAGTGTACTATCAAATTAATTTTCAAAATTACTGTAAAATATCTCTTCTTCATACATATTTTTACAACAACTGAATAACCACAAATGATTAATTTTCAAATTAATAAACAATTCCAATGTTATAATACGTAACATGTTACGGAATGCATCTATGGTTACAGTCTATAAATGGTTAAATTAGCTTAAATGTAAGTAATATTTAGATACAAATAGTGCATATAAATTATTTTATATTTATTTATTTACTCATTTTTATTAGCTAAATTGGGGCCAAACGGCTAACGACCGAAGTATTTCTGCTTAATTCTATATTAATTGATTAATTTAGTAAAAAAACAGCGTTGCAATTAAGTAATATTTGTACTTATTGATGAGATCTTTCAGACAATTACTTAGCTATGTAAAAGTTAAAACTAAAAATAAATCAATAATATGTCTTTTGTTGATGTTATTATGTTTTTTTTTGCGCGAGTAGGCTAAAATTTCGTAATTATCTTAAAATTAGAAGTTTTTTTGATTCAAAGTTCATTAATTTTATGGGTAAAGCTTACTTTTTTTTGTAATTATGTAACAAAATATATTAAACTAAATATCACTTGAGACAATGTAGAATTGCGTAGTATTATTCAATTAAATTGTGTATTGTTCATACGATGCTCGTATCTGCATAGTTCAAGGATACAAGATGTGAAGCGAGTATCGATAATTACAGATAATATTCAATACTCGCAAGTATTTATATAATTTCGATTATTCAACATCCGGTATTTATTTTAATATATAATTTTTAGTAAATACATCATTTTATTTATAAAGTACATTATTTTTGTAGAATATGTTCTTATTGAATAATTAGTAAATTAGGAATGTGCCTAAAAGGAATGTTGTTTGGTATGTTTCATTCGTAGAACTGTAACTATTATCGAGTATAATAGTTATAGTATAAATTTTAGTATATTACTTGTAATTTCTAGTATAGTTTATTTAGCAAATAATTATTGAAATTTGTAAAGCAACTATCAACCATTTTAATCCATTTGTAGTTATCCAGCTATTTTGTCTCTCAATATCTTAAAATGATTAAAAAATAGATTCTAGAAATGTCAAGTATAACCTTGCGTCTGGTATAACAATTATTATGTTAAAAGAAAAACAACACTAACATCATTATTTTATAGGTCGAACAGTATACAACAAATTTATTTATTTAAAAAAAATATATACAGCGCATCGAGATTCAAGGCTGATGATTGTGTTGTAATAAGTATCTTTGTTTGCTTTATTTCTTTTTCTTAACAAGTTTTTAAATCGTACAAGGAGGTCATCTAACCGCAGTCAATCAACGCTCATGTGCTTGATGTATAGTAGAAAATGACTCAAATAATTATAATTGGTGGCAGTTGTAAATTATGAATCTCCATTATCGCGGGATTCCATTTTGTAATGCATTGAACTTTGGCGTTCAATCATCCGCGCGATGCACTGAGAGCATTTATGAATGAAGAGATGGATACACCGGGTTATCACGGTAAATGCAGGCCGCTTCGTGTTTGTAAACAATTCGTTTGTGATTGAAATGGCGTCACGTATTGTGTAAGGTCAACAATCACTTTAAGGTTTTGTAACGTTCATTTTGTTTGACGTTTTTCGTGCGAAACTTAAGCAACTCGTGTGATTGTTATTAGATTTTTAACTTCAAATTAAGAAAGGATGAAGAAAACGTTATGATTGATAGGAAACTCAGCAATTAAAGATGTCTACATCTTTGAAAGCTAGTCTTTATGTCAATAGTTCATGACGGATTTTACGAAAGTAACGAAGTGTTTCGATTTAATTTTTTTGAACATGTCTAGTGAGGCATTATTATAATTTTCTAGAAAATGTCCAGGAAAGAGGAATTACCTATGATTTGTATATCAAGTGATGAATCTTGATAGTCCATATCATCAGTTTACGAAGTTGGCTGATTCAGTTGTCTAGAAATTTAGGAGTTAATCAATAAATTACAAATTTTGTAATGTTGTCTTTCCTCTCAACTAGCTTTAAACTAAGGAAGTCCAATCCTACTAAAATGAACTTTGGTTTCTCTATTTTCAAGCTTACAAAATATATATTAGAATAAACTAATTATGTATACGTAAAGTGTATACATTTTGTTAATTATTATTTTTTTATAATATGTCTACTGATAGTGAAAATTTTGTTTAAAATGTATGGTAAAGTTAGTGCAAATTATTTCAGTTGAACTTAACAGTTTCATCAAAGATTTTAGCAATACATCACATAATTTAGAGCAATATATGATTGAAATGTGTCTGTAGTTATCATCGTTGATGTTGCTTAATATAAAGTTAAATCATTAAATCAAAGCATAGTTTTTGGTATTAAGTAGAATTAGATGCAAAATACTATAACAAATGTAATTAAGAAAATATCAAATAATGTAAGATAATGAAATAACATTTAAATCAAATTTAATAAAGAAATATTGTGGTTTGCTAAAAGTTTTTAGTTGAAGAAAAGAACTAACGAGAAGTTCTTGTAGAAGTTCCAGAAACAGAAATCATATTTCTTTACAATCGCTTTGTTAGACTACCATTTCACTGTTTCAAAAGTTTGCAAAACTTTTCTTCCTTTATTTTTCACTTAGGAGCCATCCCAAACATTCTCATAACAAGGAAACTTCTCATTGTTGATATAGTAGTTTGCTGATTCCCCAATTTAGTGGATCTGATGGTCGACTGAACAAGCACTCTGTACTTTTCGGCGGTTAATGATAATCAATAGGGGATCATTCTCCCGTCGTCTGCCCAATTCATGCAGTTTATCTCTAATCGTACCATAGTTTCGGCTTTCGAGCTGCATGCGGTGGTAGCTTTATGAATGGATTGTTTTATCGCCGTTTCACAAGGCAATATCTTCTTTATGCCACCGTATACTAAGCTCCTTTTTTTATTGGACTTTTGTGATTTACTTATGTTTGGGGTGGTACAGCCAGCTTGCAATAAGCTCTCCCTTTTTTTTACGTTCCCATTATATAGAAATCCACATTTCATCGGCAGTAATCAACCGCACTAAAACCAGATTAATGCACGAGATTCTTGCACGCTCGCCCCATCAATCCATCCGATTGGCTTTGGTTGTTGAGCATCCGAAGACTGTAATCATAATCCATAATCGAGCAACATCTCGCCTCCTCGTATGCGCACATAACTCATAGGGTTTAACGTTGTTTTACGTTCAAAACTAATTAAACTAAATTGTTAAGATTAAATGATTAGAAAATGCATATTTTAGAAATGAACAGCCGGTAACTTATGACGGTTCATTAACGTTTTCTTACAATGAAGTTTTTGTTGTTGTTATTAATTGTGTTTTTAATTATGATGGAATGCGTTTGCTTTTAGGCGATGCGGAGTACAAGCCTTTCGTTATTGCTGTACCGGAAGTCAGGGAGATTCCGTTATCCGGATCCGAAGATTTCATCATCCTGGCCTGCGATGGCCTCTGGGATTTCCTCAGCGAGGAGGATGCGGCGATGCTGGTGTACAAGATGGTCTTCGATAATCCAGGTAGGATTTGTTCATTTTATTGTTTTTTTTTGATACTCGTTCAATGTGTTTTTTTTTGTGTTCGTTGGAAATCGCGATGCTGTTTTGAAAAAGGGGGAGATTCATTGTCCTTTGTTAAAAGGCATAACAGTTTCTTTTTGGGGTGGTTGAGACAATTCATATTTGTCGAAGGGGAAATTCCAATTTGCGTTCTGCAAGTCACTCTTTCTTATTGATTATCACTATATCAACTCGATTGTCCTTCTTAATGGTACTTAATGTTTCTTCTTGTAAATATATTGCTTTGTTTTATAACAAAAAGACAGTTGTTGCGAAAGTTACATAAAGATAGAAACGTTGTTCAAAACAACTTTTAAAGCTATTGATAAATAAACATCAATAGTTCATGACGTAAAAGTAACAAAACGTTACTTAAATAAGTGATAAATTACAAAAAACAACATTTATTGTTACAACCATAATGATTATATTGGAATAAATTCATGTGTCAACGGAAAGTCCAAAGAACAAAATCATTGGAAAATTATTGAATTAAATTAATTTAAACTTAATGAATCTGTTAATTGTTTTGATAATTATAGGTTTTTATTAATATAGAATTAGATTCAATGAAAACAGTACAAATTTAAATGTATTATTATATGCAACCATATGCACACTTTTGTAATTATAGCAGTATACGACACTCCTGTGTTTTTCATCGACCAACATAGATTTATATTTAACAAAAACTTAATTTAGCATCTTCAAAAACTAGTCAATCTTATGTAAAACGAATTATTTCATGTTGATGATCAATCTTACTCTTTTGAATTCGTTTTTTTTTCTTTGGATTTTGTACAAAATGTCTTTTTTAAATTTATTTTCTATGGAAATTGCATATTACATTACATCACACCAACAAAAGTATGTATGTGACTCATATGACTAACTTGTTAGGGTGATTTAACAAGTGCTTTCGCCGTGGACGTATTGATTTCATTCCCATTTAAAACAATACAAATTACTTTTTTTGAGGATTACTCATTGAGGGGATCGACCCTAATTTTTTGGGTTGGGCGACTCGGACGATAGTTTGGGGCGTAGTGTAGGTAAGGGCTTTGTCTAAGTGCTACGAAAACCGAAAAATGAAACTGTTTGATGAAATTCAAGTCGAGTACAAATATGTTTCTTTTTAAAGCATATTGAAAAATACTAATGGAACAGATGTACAAAAATATTTTGGTATCTTGTTTTATATTGATTATTTTGTTATATAAAATAATAATGGAAATTCATTTTAACTACACGGTCATTGATCTTTCTTATTTTGAAGCTAAACGTAATTGAAACAAGTCATGTGTACCAGCTTTCTTTCTGCTAAACTCGTTCACAGCTTTCATATGACTAATTTCGCCGAAAATGAGTTTAGAAACAAAATATTATTGTTTTCTGTACATGTATTCAATTTGTATTATTGGTTTTTATGAAGAATTATTAATGTTTGTTCTCTTTATATTGTATATGCAAACGTAAAGTTCGCGATTGGAATTAGAAATATACATTATGTAATATGGCAAACTGCCATTTAGTATAATTCATATATCATTAAGTATAGGATAAATGTAATAATGGTCCAAGGACGAAACGTTGCAGTGCGTGAGAAGTAAAATACAATAAACAACTTGAAAGTGTTTAACATTGTTATAATTTCATATAAAATACTCAAAAATAAACTAAGAAATACACGGTTTCATTTGAACTTCAGAAATTAATTATATATTTAAAATATTAATGAAACTCTTAAAAATATAATTTCAATTGTTTTACAAATCTTTTGTCATGAAAAATACTATAGTTGAAAATTATTGTATTATGGTAATAATATTTAGCCTAAATTACATTATAATAGTTTAAATTTATTAATATTTTGATGGAAGAAAAAAAAGCTAAATTATATTTCTGAGATTTACAGTAAAAATATGTTTTAATAAGTAATATGAATTGTGGGCGTAATATGCTGTATTCAAAAGCTTGAAGACATAAATAATATGGAAATAATGAAAACTTGTTGCAAGTATAACGAATAAAAAGAAACAGTACTTTTCTGTAAAATTCAATATATTTTACAAAAAAAGTACTTCAATTTAAATGCTATACAATTCTGAAATGAAATACAATTTTCGTTCGGTCTTCGGAGAAAGTTACACAACTCGTTCGTCGGCGATTTTCCTTTGTTCGGAAACATTGTATAATAATAATATTGCTCGTCTCTCGGAGTTTAATACTCGAGTTTCATTTCGTTCCTTCATTCTACTTTTTTTTTCTTGTTCTTCCTTCATTTACTTATTTCGTACTGCCGCTCGTGAATGAAAATTTTCATCGTGTGTGACGGAAGATTGTAAGTCATTAAAATTTATTGCTGTAATTTTCTCTCTGGCGGATTTGAAGTTAGCGGGTGAGCACACACAAACACTCATATATTCACTGGGACTTTCTAATACCGAATTAATTGAAAATTTTCTCTCGGAGGGTCAACCCCTCGACGATGTGTCCGTCCGGTCAGAACGTGGTGGCAATTGGTCACGTGGCCGGGATTTTGTTTTCGCTTTTGGGGGAGAAGAGCCCTGACCAATCTCAATCTGGATGCCAGACGCGTGCCTCTTAATACCCACAACAAGGGGATGCATTTTATTGGATTGGCATACGAGGCTTGTGGGGATGCGGGTTTCAGGGGTGAAGCGGAGGTGTAGATTTTCATCGATTTCTTTTTTCACTTAATGATGCGACAGCTAGAGACACGAACAGATTCTGAGGGGGAAAATTATGCTCTGGAACAACGTGCTTGCGAATATCATGTAAATTTGAATATCATTTTTAATTTGAAAAACTTTGCCGTGTTCCTAAAGTAATTCATTTTCCTTGTGATGCATCAATCAAAAAAGTATAATTTGTCAGTAACTTTTATAAGATTTATGCAGAAATAAACTTGGATAAATTGGTTTCTCATAAAGTTATTTCTATAAAATTTTCTAATAAGACTGAAAATGAAAATATGAAAAACTATGCTTTCAAGAATAGAATGAAGTACAAAATGAATTCCCTGCAGGGAATATAATCGTATCGGAAATTGGTATTTAGTTCTACAAGCGAAGGGGAGAAACCAACTAACTGCAGAACTGAAATCATATTTTATTCAGAGGACAGCAATTATTCATTAAACTATGATAGCAAATGAAGCTGAAAAATCGTCATATGAATATGAACTTGCAATTTCTGTAATACTACCCCAAGCGTATTCTATCTGCAAGATTCTATGCGGGATAGGACAGATTGAGCTTGGGGGAAGAGAAATCGGTCCTCCGTGTATTCATTATAATCTCAGAAGACAATGACACTATGGACGCAAACAAATGGTTGCAATAATGTCAATGGTTAACCAAGAAGACACTGGATTTCACTGAAGAAAGGATGTTTTGTACAAAACTGGATTAGGTTCCACATTGTCTGTCTACCCTAGCATTAGAAAGAATAAAGAAAAAAAATGTAATTTCACGCTCGACATTTCCTTCTGCAGTTGAAAAAAAAGCTAAAACTTTATGGGATTGTTTGGCATTTCATTACAATGAAGTTTATAAGGTGATCAGAACGATTTTAGAATATGAATAAAGGATATAAAGGAATTTTATTGAAGCGCCATCTATGGAAACATCAAAAACAATTTCTTGAAACATCACATATCATGTAAAATATGTATAATGAAGGTCAATAGACAGACAGATATTAATCACATCAGGAAGATAATTGATAACGAGGTTTCCAAATTGATTACTTGCGAGTGGTGCGCCTCTTATGCAAGTAAAATGCATGTATGATATTTCACTATGCGCCTGTAATGTGGCTTCCAAAGTAGTTTATCTGACTACCCCTCATATATAAGTAGGGAGAAGAATCAATTTCACGCTCGATATTTCAAAATGCAATGGAAAAGTAGCTTAAACTTTATAGGATTGTGTGGTATTTCATAACTATAATTTATAGGTTATTGCAATAAAGTTTAGAAGGTGATCAGAACTATTTTCGAGGTTGTATAAAGGAAATACTGGAATTTTCAAGATTTATGACACTTAACGGAAAAACATATTTTTTTTATGCTTTGACGTAAGGTGACAGCTTTTATATTGCGACCAATTAAAAATGTAACGAGCAACGCTGGTATATACTAACTTACAATTGATAAGAAGAGAGAAATGGAATGGTAATAAAACTTGATTAGCAATGAAAATTAGTTTTCTATGAGTGAAATAAAGGAATTTTATTGAGACGCCATCTACAATGACTTCATGAACTAAATTTGTTTAAATATATCTATATATATACATAAGGATGGTCTATAGGTAGATAGTTTATTAAGATATTTGAATTGAGAATTGAAGGATTATTGATACAGAAGATAATTACACCAACATTTATTCCACTTAACATATTTGTTTATATTTGTACTGAGACACTATAGTTTACGATCTTTTTGAAGTAAATTGGCAGCAGCTGTCATATTATGGGTAATAAAAAAATGAGAAACGTTATACTACCTTATAAAGAGAGAAAAGTAATAGTAATAAAACTCCATGTTTTCTTTTGAAATGAAAGGTAGTTTACCGCCATCTAGTGGGATATTGTGAACTAAATTCGTTTACACGTTATTATTTAATTAATCTTTTTTTAAATCAATCAATCAATAAGGTTAATGCAAGATAATTCATATCGATGTAAATTAGTAGTGTCTGTAATCATGTAAATTATATAATCGATTTTCTTGTCGGCTTTGATGGTGGCGCCGTCTGGAAATGTTCTAGTCACACATTTGGATTTATAGTTGTTTGTATATAAAAAAAATCACCATAAAAGCAAATTATTTGTGAATAGATACATATAGAGAGCATAAAGCATATAGAATACTGAGTGACGGAACTGCTTGGTATTTTATTGTATATCAATTATTCATAACATTTTCAATAAATAGAACTTTGCCGGTTGGTTAACTACACATTTGCGTGGTGTATGACTTTAAGCGATGAAACGTAATTTAGAATGAATGCTATGATACAAATGTCATGGGAATGGGAAATTTAGTATAAGTTTTTTTTCGCTATTTTTATCCCGGACAATGTCACACGTGAGAATCTTCACCGATCCACCAGTATATTGGAACTGTAACTCCATAACTTGTCTTCAAAGATCCTCTATGTCACGTATGGTTCCGCTACATTTATTAGGTCGTTAATAATACCAGAACCAATGTATAACATTTTTTTTTTCTGAAAATTCTTACAATTAGTCCATGTCTTGTAATTTTTGTTCAATTTTTATTATTATTTTTTATATCATGAAAATTCAATTGGAAGTAACGGAAATATAAAAAATTGATTATAATTTCAGTAAAATAAAATTTATATAACACACTTAATTAGTGTAAATTAAAAACTATTTTTGTATCGTTTCATTTAATTATAAAATTAAGGTGCATTAAAAGCAAATTACATAATTATGTTACGCAGACGTATTTCTGCGAAGCTTAATCAAGTTGATATATCCAAGTAATAATCTTCGTCTCTTATACATGTCTATTAGATGTGCATGTCTTTGAGTTGTGCCTTTATTGGCGGAACATTCCATAACCGATTTTTATCATTTTATGTGAAAGGAAACGCAATTTCTAAACAATGGATCTAAATGGTGAATAACAAAAGGAATATTTATATATAATTATTGCACGTGAGAGAAATATTATGAATGTAAGCAATAATATTTTAAAATAAAATATTCTTCAAAACAAATTTTTACAAACTTTGTACTTTATAATATCAATTTTTTTTTATTATAAATCTAATTTCTTAGTTTACAAATTTGTTTGTACTATTTTAATGAGAATCTCGTATAAATATTCATGGAATTAAATTTATTA